ATAGTTCTGCGATGGTTTAACTGTTTCACCGGGTGTAGTCAAAATTAACTTGAATCCTTGATCAAATCCTTTGCATCGGTATTCGTTATTATTTTTCTTTGTTTTAAATATAACTTTAAATTGAGTGGATTCTCCTGCGTGATATGGATAATTTAATTTTGCCTTTTCATATCCACTTTCCACGTTCCAGTTTGAAAAATTCGGATTTCTTTTAATCATAATCATTTTGGATGTCATTCTATAAACGATATGGTTTATGGTTGTGAATGTATAAAAATGAAAATACTATTTTATTTTTGAAAATAAACTTACTGGTCGGTGTATGTTTCACTTGATTGTAAAGCATTAAAAGTAAAACAGAGACCTTCTTCAGTTAAGTGTGGTACTAAAAAATTGTGGCATTCCTCCCAGCCACTTTTCCATTTACACATAACTAAAGATTCGTGATAAATAGGTGCAATATCTTGAATATATCTATAAAGTGAGGCATTTGCAAAATCTTCATCAAATAGATTTTGTTCATACAAATTCGGACAAACTTGTGCCAGGGCATTCAGTCGAATTTTACTGTAAACAAATAGATTGATAGCATTAAGATGAGAAACAAATGAAACACTTTCGTGGTTTCTTACTCAATGTAAGACATGTTGGATGTCGAACTGAACTCCGATGGCACAACCAATTTATATTTTGTAACTTTAGTTTGCGGACACACTGTAACAGTTGGAAATGGAATAGTCCGTAAATCTGAATCTTTTTCTTTAATTTTTACTGGATTATTCTGCCATCTAATCCATGTGCCTTGAATCATGGATCCACATAAATAAAAAGCAGCACAAACGGCAATTACCCATATCATCCTTTTGTAAAAATAAAAAAATATGGAAAGCAATACAAAACTGGGGGAAATGAAATACGCTCCAACCTTTCACTCCAATGTAATTTTTTCAATGTAAAATAACGAAAACCATGAATATTGCTGCAGTCACAGTATTCCATGCAAAATATACCAAACGATCGAAAAAAACGTCGCAATACGTTTATCTAATGATAAAAAAAATAGATTTCTAGTAATATTAATTTGTTTTAAAAAGTAATTGAATTTCAAACGAACCCCCCAATATTTTGAACTTTGAATTTCTTCAATTTCTTCCACATCTATCTTAACTATTTGTGGTCTCGGTCGATAAATGGTCCAGAACAGCCGAAGAGTGGGATAGTAAACAATTTCAATGATGCTCAGTAGTGAAATGCCCAAATATAATCCAAGTAAACCACCGCAAATTGACAAAAAATCGACTAAGGTATAGGTTTCACTTCGTTTCAATATTTGTACTCTTTTTGCATCAAAATAGATAACGACTCGTGCCAATTGTTGACTTAGAATTTTGGAAGGAAAAAACTACGTTTTATTTAGTGTAAAAATTTTGAAAATGCTCAAGTATAAAAAACTAGGTAAAAAAGCACTCGCAATGCTCACACGAAACGTAATGTGAACGAGTTTTGTTTTATAGCAGATTTATATCTTCAGTTTGATCTGCCTTATTGAAATAAAATGCTGTTTTCATTTTCAAATGTATTTACCCTGTGTCATTCATTTCAGATCCGATTGTTGCCATTTTCCAATTTGCAATTGTTGTTTGGTATTTTAAAAATTTGCAAGGTTGATTGCAGTTGCAATTAGCTATTGCATCATCATCATCATCTTGGAAGAAGTTTAATCTCGATTGAACATTTAAATAGCAGTCAATACTTGCTGCGCCGCAAATTTTTGTATTCTTGTCTCCTATGAAATGTTATATTCTCAATTAAATATATTTTGTGTAAGCAGATTATTCAACGAACTGCAGTTCATGTTCATACACTTTTATGTAATCTTTTTCAACATTCAACTTTGTTTGCTAACTGTTTGTTTCATTTCATCAAAACAAAAAATTCGTTTTTCGTAAGGGCTCATTTTGTGTTTTCATACAGTTTGTTAATAAAATTAAATTAGATAAATACATACTGGGCATCGAAAATTTCACGCATCCGCAGATTTTTAGAGTATAGTTTGCTAAACACTCTTGCTGACAGTTAACTGTCGTGTATGTTCTGAAGAAGCGCAATCGGTGCTCAGAATCAAAATAGCATTGACGTTGCCTCAGATCGTAATTGCTAAATCCTCCCGAAATATCGATTATTTGGGGTTCAACTGTTAATATATTATCTTCTTGAAGATATATGAGAGGTTGTTGAATTATTGTTTGATCGTTTGGTATTTCAACAGGTGCATTCAGAAAAATGTCGAATCCTTCCAAAGAAGCCTCACACATAAACTCATGGTCGCGTTTATTCATTGAGAATATTAAATCAAGACTATTTTGGCGACCCGAATTAAATACACGAATTGGATAACCAGTGCCATTGAATCCCTTTTTATATCCAGCTTCCAAACTCCAGTTTGTTGAAAGTGGCCTATTTTTTATGCGCATCATTCCCGGCGCCATTCTAAAATACATATTATGTTGACATAAACATCTTTAAGTAAGTTAAATTGATTTATCTCAAGAAACTTACTCATCTGTGTAAACATCGCGTGAATTAAGTGCGTTGAATGTAAAGCAAAGACCACTTTCAGTCAACATTGGCGTAATATAATCGGCGCATGCTACTTTCCTTTGCCGCCATTTGCATTCTTGCAACGAATAATTGAGATTGGGTGCCATTTCTTCAATTCTATTATAAATGGACTCGTCTTCGAATCTATTTTCCAATTCAATATATCTATTCATCTGTTCACAAATGTGAGCTAATGTAGAAAATTGTTCCATCCTAAATACACATTATTTATTGTTAATATTTGGTTTAAAATATATTTAGTGATTACTTACTCAGTGTCTGATAACTCTGATGTTAGTTGCTGGGTGTTCTGATTGAATTTCGATGACACGTCCAATGTAGATTTCAATGTTTTAATTCGCGGACACACTGTAACAGTTGGAAATGGAATTGACGAGATGTGTGCAGATTCGTCAGAACTCAAGGTCATTGGATTCTCATTCCAGTCTACCCAAACGTTGTGAATCATCAAACTGCATAGCACAAGTGATAAACCGAATCCGATGATCCAACAAAATCTATTACAAAGGCCAATTATAATTGTAATCAAAAGAGAGAGAAATGGAAGGAAAAGTGTGATTCAAAACCTTTCGCTTCGATGCAATATTGGTTGTATAAAATATCGAACACCATGAATATTACTATTTTCACAAAAATCTTTGAAAAATATCCAAAACACTCTGTTTGTCGTTGCAATTTGGGCACCCAAATTAGTTTCCATAGTAAACAATAGCAATATAATCAAGATCTAAAACACTTCGTTGTGGCACAGTCGCACTCACTAATTCTTCAATTTGTGATATTATATTAATAAAATTACTACAAACTTGTACACAACATCGATGTACTACGAAGTACTGAAAAAAAACTAAACTCATTTTCTGTATATTGTGAGAAATATATTTTATTATTTTTCAAGATCGAATTTAACTGATTTTGATTTGAACACATTGTTAATAACTTGATTGATTTCATATTGTATGCATGTTGTAAATTACAACTTGTAATGTTGTACAGAATCAGGTTACAATGTAAAAAAAAACAACCAATGTGTCTACCAAAACCGTATTTTATTAATTTTTATTTCTAATCCATTGTTAATTTTAAAATTAAAATCCACATTATTATTTGAATCACACTAGCCTTTCTGTCTCTGGCTATAAATTTTACTTTTCCGCACACACCTAGTGTGTAAGGTAAAGTATTGGAATCGGTCGAAAAATTAACACCCATCAAAAATGTGTTTTTGGGGCCAGGGAACACGAATCTAGCGTTTTTTCGATGTCCGAATGTATGTGCGTACCCTGTACGCTGTACGCAAAAATATATTAACACGATAACTGTTAAACAAGAAAAGTAATTCAAAATCTGACTTCACAGGATGATTGGGGGTGCCGAGGAATAGAAACCATTAGATTTTGAGCGCCTTTGGTTGACAGAGTGACGTGTAATGTCTGGTGTGATGCCCATGGCCATCCATGGGAAAAATTCAATTTTTCTTCCAAAAGTGATATTTAAACACTCAAAAATATGTATTTGGGAGTTTTTGGGTACGAGAAAACCAATGTCGGAATATGATGGCGTTTTATTTTCAACCAAAAGTATGTTTTAGCGTAGATTGCGATTTAAATGGACATTTGTATGTATAGACGGTGGCGCCGCCCTACTCAATTAAACACTGAACTGCAGCGTTTCCAATCGTTGGAGAAAACCGAATATAACATTAGTTTTGCGATACAAATAATTTGCGACACACTTTTCATACAAAAATGTCAGATTCAGTTTTCTCGTGAATTCAAATTTGAGTAAAAGATATGTAATAAATGCATGTTGTGGATCACAGTGCGGAAAAGTTCATCTAACCGATGTAAGACATTTTTTTTTTTAGTTTGGAAATTAAAAACCAAATCTGGTTGCTTATCATGTGAAAATCAACATTTTATTTGTAACATTGTTTGAATTTGCTTCAGAATATTCATGCTCCTCTATTCATTTGTGAATTACAATGTTTTTACAATTTCAACATATAATTGCATTCGAATATAATCATTGGCTTTTTGTACTACAATGTAACCTAGCAATCATGCAAAGAACATGAAATGAAATCAATCAATGTAATAATAGGCTATTAACAATAGCCTATTATTGATAGCATCTGCTGGTTATACATACAAAATAATAACTTCTCAAAACTATATGCTATATGCTGTCTGAGTAGTCCAGATATTTGTAGCGATTGCTCAGATGCTGATTCGATGCTTTCGCCGCACGTGCAACTCACTATTTTTTTGTACACACACATCGTATACGAAGTTAGGGGTCCATAGACCGCCAAATGCGACCAAAGAGACTCTTGACGTACCTTTATATTTCATATAATGAGGCCCGAAAATGGCTGGAAGTTTTTTTAAAAATGACCCAACAAAACATAATTTTAAATCATTATTGGGGTGGTCCCAGTATTGAAACAGCAAACCGAATATGAGGTAAATGTATAGCCTAGGCGATCCAATTGAACAAAATAAAAGCACGAAGTGTTTTCTTTGGTACCAAATATGATGAAAAAATTAATTTTGGTCCATTCTAATCTTCATGTCGAAGTCTGCCACCGATCATGTACGGTTATTCATAAAGAAAGTGAAAAATTTACTCACATTGGTTGGAGATACAGATTTAAAACTGAACCTAAGAATATTTAACTAAGATTTATAATGATAATAAACAAATTTTTCTGTGCAAAATTTTATCATTTATTTGGTTCAATTCACACAACAAAAACCTGTGGATTTTTATATACAATTTTCTATTTCAATGTGTAGAGTGCTTAATGATGTGGTGGCCTTTCACACAAAACATTATTGGCCAAATTTATATGAAATTTTCCCGAAAAAAATATATGTTTGCTATTTTTTTAATTATTTGGAAATTTGCGATTTTCTTTATGGATTTTTTTTATTTTGTTTACAGTTACATGTACAAGTCCCAGTAGCGGGGTCGTATACTCCTATAACACTATTCCCAATATCATCACCAACCATATCGCCACGATCTCTTGTTGCAGAATTAGCTCGACCTTGGGCGTTAACCACAGTAGCAACGACAAAGAGTACGAAAATAAAAATAAAGAATTTCATTTTGATTTTGTTTTTCTTTAAGTTTTTAACTGACTCGTTGAAGAGAAGTAAACAGTTTGATAATTTTTCCCAGAATACGTTGGCCTTTTATACAAAATCAGAACGCAAATATTGATTGCCTTAAAAAACATTGTACACCATACAATGTATACTAAAACAATATGTATGGAACACTTAAATTAATTAATTAATTTAATGAATAAGTGTGTCGCTGTGATACAAATCGTGATCAGTGCTTCCAAAGATGACACGTCAAGATAGGAGTGTTTGATTAGATAAGTACAAAAGAATCTGGAAAATTTATA